AAAAGGACCCTAGTATCAAAACTACAGACTACATGTAATTATTAAACGTTATACTCTGAATAATTTGCTTTCATAAAAGGATGCTATTTATATAATTTTTACACGAAATAACAAAAGGACATTAAATGTATTAATACTTTTTTTATTTTCACAATTACCATGTAAAAAACCACTTTTCCTAATATAAATCCAGATAATAAAAATGTAATATGAAAAAAAAAATTGACATTGTCCTCAGCAATTAAAAAAATACCCATATGTAATATCACAGTCAAATAATGATGAAGTATCTGAGATAATTACAAATTGCCAACTCAATAATTCAGTACATGAAGTCCGCTGTCCTGTGCTTAATGTCACCACGGCTCCACTCATTAGGCCCTGTGGAGTAGGCGGTTGACAGCAGATTCATCAGTATTCACTTGGAGAAGAGACTTAACTGAATCAAGGGGATAACTTGTAACGTTGTCAGATCAGCTAAAACTGCCTATAAAATACAATAGAAGCAGGTTTAGATAAACGTTTTCTTTCGTTTTTGAAATTTTTCTAAACGCTTGACGTCAAATTGGAGATGAGAATGGTATAAAATTATTTCAATTATTAAAGAAGCCGTGAGGTAAAGATCTAGTAAATGAAAGGTATCTACAGAAATATCAAATTTAAGAAATGAATTCCTTTAATGATGCTTTATAAATTTAGCATGATCAAATAATGTGTTTTGGGCATAATTTGTAGGTAAACAAGATGAAAATTATATTTTAAACCTTCATTTCCAATAAAAATAAAAAAAAACTAGTCATGAATATGGGAGTTTTTTTCCATACTAGACAAAGAAAGTGTATCCAGATTGCCTACAGTCTTTCAGATAACAGTTATTTATATGTTCTTGGCCTCTTCTTTAAAATAATATCAAATTTAATGTAGGTATCGGGACTACCTTTCATTTACTAGATCTTGACCTAAAAATGTTATTTTTTGTTTTTTTTAAAAAAAATTAAATGTTAACTTCGCTATATCCGTTATTCGTTTTAGTAGTAAAAGGAGTTCATTACATTCATATAGTTGGGGATCCAATATAACTTCGCTATATCCGTGAAATCGCAATATCCGTGTTCGCATTAAACGAGTTTTACTGTATTGTACTTCCAGGAATACTGAACCGTCGTATTCGTTTATTATACGATTCAATAATTTAATGCTGAAGTCCTGGACAAAAAACAGTGAGCGACACGTGGTTTCCCTTCATGACAGAAAGTTACAATATTAACCAATATCATTTTGGAAGTTCCTTAACTATTTTTGGTCCATTCTTGAGAAATTCAAATATTACTTGCAATGAACATTTTTATACTTTTAATTTCAGTCAAACAGAGGACTACTGATTATGATATAGGTTACTTTATATGGGAAAGGAAAATTAGAAAACAAACAAACGCGTTGAGTACAATTTGTATTTTCATTATTCCCAGTCTGTTCCCAAAATACCATGCGGATCAGCATTAAACCTAAAGACGACCAAATATGTTTTTTTGTAAAAAGTTTATTGGAAACAGTGTATTCACTTGGGAGCAAGAATACATCGTTTATTCTTTTTAAAAACGAAAAAAGTAACTAATGAAGGGACACTGTTTCATCCTAAAACCGAGAATCCTGTGCAAAAGGCATGTTATGAAGTATAAAAATGTCGTGATGGGTTTTATACGATCACCATGGGGGAAATAAAGTGACAATCATGAAATTAATTCGGAATCCCACTACGTTCCATTCAAACTAAACATGTTTTTTTTTATAACTATGTCTGGTGAAATATTGAATACATTTGTCATTTTGTATAAAAAAAAAAAATCTTTTTCAACAAAGTGAATCAAATACAGGTGGAATCGAGCTACCTCTGCTGCGTTGTAGGACTGAACCTTCATTAAGTTGGTCTTTCTGAAGGAAAATATTGCCACTGCCAACACTGAAAGATAAATCATTGACCATAATTGCTAATAAAACGGTGCGCATCAAGATTAATATTGAAAAACAAGTCAACAAAATTACTTGGAATTAAAACATTTTAATCAAAGCTACCCATGTCTTTGAAGAATCCATTTCATTAAATCAAAGTGCTTCATAAAAATAATAAACAAAACCCTCGTGCTGCAAAATTGTTTAGCGAAAGAAAACAAAACAATCGAGGATCAATATTCCTTTTAATCACGACTAAACGTGCTGCTAAGATATTAAAACTGAACACCTATAATATCCATTAATCGTAAGATGCAGTAATTTGAGCTGACCATACTTGTAGTTGTCACATACTGTACATGTACCTTACTAGTATAATGAAGAAAATACACACTTCTCTTTTTGGCATAAAAAATGCCCATATATTATACCTGACAAGATCTCCAAGGAGTTGTATGCTAGGACGCGGTCCCACAACAAGAGGACCTGATCACTGGAGAGGTATCCCGAAAAGGCACGTACAAGCCATTTAAATGCTACCTTAAGTCTGCAAGCAAATTACAAATTATTTTTTAAATTATTTTATATATTTAATCCATTTCTCGATCATGGTACATGGTTTTGAGTACAGGTACATGAAAAACTTTTACCGTATTTTCCTTCAATAGTACAGCCAAATATAGATAGTTTGTTAACCTTTTATTGAATGGAACTTTTAATTTCTGAATTTTAATATAAAACTCGGAGTATTGGAATAGAACTTCTAATTTCTGAATTTTAATATAAAACTCGGATTACACTAAACACTACTATGTGGTAATGCACATAGAAAATGCTGTAGGAGGTCATACGAGAATTTTGATGACATCTGAGTCGGAGGTCTATAATTCTAAGGTTCAAATGAGCAAATAAAGAAGAATGACAATTTCTCTTATTTTACTTCATCGTATAAGAACGCATTAAGCCTAGAATGTAAACATATGATAGGTAGTGATTGTTCCTTCGCCAAGCTCTCAGGTCTAGAAGTGAGAGTCAGTGTCACAACAGGCGTTGGCACGATGAACTTTCGCGGCATAATGGCCCTGAGTGCCGAGCATATATCTAAATCTGAAGCCCTTTACCGACAAAAATAACGTTTCTATATGAGTGAAAAATTTTTGAATGGTACGGTAAACAATATACAATCAACCAATTAATCATAAATTATTTAGAACCACCAATTTTAGCACAGAAGATGCAACATGCTAAAATGTACAAAGGAACAATATATATGCAGTACACAGTCTAAATAATATTGCGTCAAAGTAAATGATGAATACACAAACATATTTTGATTGAGAATTAAAATAAATCAAACCAAAAGATTTTTTCACATTTTTTAAATTCAATTTTCTGAAGAGTCATGACGTATTACCAATTCCGATCGAGTGTCAAGACCACCAATCTCGCTCAAAAATTAGTTTAGGATGAACTCTCTTGAGAGTACAGGGATGTTTGAAATTTAGCTCTCGGCTCATCTATTACTTCACTTCAAAGAGTTTATTTATACGCATATAAATAATCAAATAGTAGATAACTTGAGATATAATATGTAAAGTGCAGGCATACAACCACATAACATTTTTCTTATTTTTTTTTCTTTCCAAAAAGTATAATTTTGGCAAACAAAACTGATTAAAAATCTTTGAATACATTTTTATTATTAAATATTTCTGAGAAATTGTTTGAACATTAAATCATAGTCATTAAAATTTTCATGTATACCATGTACATCCCGAATAAAATCCGAGCTCTCTAAAATACCTGTACATTGTTTTCATTTCAACAAATTGGCCTCGAACATAAGTTGTCTGTAATATTAATTTCAAAAAGGGCAATTCCGAGCAACGTTAAATTTATAGATGGCTAACACAGAAAGCAAAACAAATACATTTATATATCGATTTTTACATTTTAAATTATTATAAAATTTCAAATAAAACAAAGTAATGTTCCTGTAAATTTAAAACCTCAAATAATATTGACTAGTTGTTACGGATTTGTCAAATGTTTGTAATTTAAATTGGCCAAATTATTTTGTAAAAGATAACGGAAAATCATTCTAATGTTCATGAAGCTAAGGGTATTTAAAATAACATTGAACAATGAATTAATAAAAACTATAGATTCCTCAGATAACAAATTTCCTTTCAACATGATAAGAGAGAATGGATAAATTGAACTTATCTTCAAAATGCTTGGAAAGATAAACGGTTTCAACTTTCTATCAAGGATAATGTTTGATCTCTTTTGATTCAGTTTTCTATTCCTTGTATAAATTCAATAATTGCTGATTTTAATATTTCATTGTTTAAAATGATATTAACACGAATTTATTCCAAATAGGAAATTTTATGAAGTTTAAAACGATACATATTCTGAACTGAAATACTGATTAACATGAAAGAAAAAGTGAGCAAGCTCACATACCCCACGCTCCCCCAAAACTCAAAGTGCTGAAAATCCCGGAAAAACAAAGAATCGGAATTTCCCGTGTTATGCACATCTACAAATTGTGTCCTAAATATCTGCAAAGTTTGATGAAATTCTGTGCAGCGGTTTATGAGCAGTAAAATGCGCTGACAAACTGTTCACCACTATATTCAAGATATCCCGAAAAATCTTAGTTGTAAAGTGCCGAAATTCCCAGAAAAATAAAAGAATCGGAATTTCCTGGTAAAATGCACATCTATACATTGTGTCCTAAATATCTGCAAAGTCTGACGAAATTCTGTGCAGCGGTTTCTGAGGGGTCGTGCTGACAAAATGTTCATCTGTATATTCAAGGTATGGCCAAAAATCTAAGTTGGAAAGTGCGGAAATTCCTGTAAAAAAATAAAGGAATCGGAATTTCCTGGTAATATGCACATCTACACACTGTGTCCTAAATATCTCCAAGGTTTGACGAAAATCTGTGCAGCGGTTTATGAGGAATTGCGCTGACAAAATGTTCATCTCTATATTCAAGGTATGGTCAAAAATCTAATTTGAAAAGTGCCAAATTCCTCTTTAAAATAAAGGACAATTTCCTGGTAATATGCACATCTACACATTGTGTCCTAAATATCTCCAAAGTTTGAAAAAAATCTGTGCAGGAGATGCGCTGACAAAATGTTCATCTCTATATTTAAGGTATGGCCAAAAATCTACGTTGAAAAGTGTGGAAATTCTAAGAAAAAATAAAGGAATCGGAATATCCCGGTAATATGCACATCTACACATTGTGTCCTAAATATCTGCAAAGTTTGACGAAATTCTGTGCAGTGGTTTATGAGGAGTTGCGCTGACAAACTATTGCATCTCTATGTGTATATATATGGCCAAAACCTGAAATTGTTTTCCGGAAATTCCCGGAAAAAATAAAGTAATAGGAATTTCCTGGTAATATGCACATCTACATATTGTGTCCTGAAATTTTAAAGTTTGACAAAATTCTGTGCAGCGGTTTATGAGGAGTTGCGCTGACAAACTTTTCATCTCTATATTCAAGGTATGGCCAAATGCCTACGTTAAAATGTGCGGATATTTCCCGGAAAAATAATGGAATCGGAATTTCCTGGTAATATGCACATCTACACATTGTGTTCTAAATACCTGCAAAGTTTGACGAAATTCTGTGCAGCGATTTATGAGGAGTTGCGCTGACAAACTGTTCATCTCTATATTCAAGGTATGGCCAAATGCCTAAGTTAAAAAGTCCGGAAATTCCCGGAGAAAATAACGGAATCGGAATTTCCTGGTAATATGCACATCTACACATTGTGTCCTAAATACCTGCAAAGTTTGACGAAATTCTGTGCAGCGGTTTATGAGGAGTTGCGCTGACAAAAAAAAAGGACTGACTGACTGACACTCTGACACACTGACACTCTGACGGACGGGTCAAAAACATTATACCTCACGCAACTAGTTGCGTGGGGTATAATAAAAGCATACTAACGGTTGACATCCAACAGATTTGAGGTGAAAAAACAGATCTGATTCGTGTGTTTGAAGAAGTGATTCAAATAGAAGACTCAGGCCAACAATTCCCTGAAATGGAAAATAAAGTTGATTAAAACTGGCGAACGTTTCATTTAAGAAATACATTGAAGAGGAAAGCCGTCGCCTCTGCCTCTATATACTACTGTTTTGAAGTATGGTATTTTTGTCAGAGTGAATTGTACATACATATATCTAATATGGATAAAGTGCTTTATTATAAGTTTTTGCCATTCCTATTTTAACCAACAACAAAAAAACAAAAAAAAAAACAAAAACAAAACAAAAAGACCTAGCAAGCACAACTTTAAACAAATGGAATTTTTTTCAAATACACGAACTGTTTATAATATATATAATAGTAATAATGTACCTGTGGAAAGTTACTGTGGAATTGGAAATAGCGCACATACATTAAAAACGTAGTAGAGGGTAATAGGCTTTTAATTAAAACACATTGGTGCCACTAAAAATAATATCACGATGTGTTTGCAAAATTTCTGTTTTTTTCATCAAAGCTTTATTGACAAAGATCAAATTTAGTGCGTTTTTCATATATCTTTTAATTACTGCTCTGGTAGCTGTATCATCAGCAAGATTGCCTGGTTTTAGCTAAAAAATGAAAGCAATACAGAATAAATTGTGAAAGATTAAGTTTATAAACGTGTGGATCAGTGGATTTAATCCTATTGCACTTATCAAGTGTGTATCTGTGTTACTAGATGAAATTGTTTTCCAATTATACTGGTACAAGTATGTTTTAATTGGGTTCCTGGCATTGTGAGATGAAATTTTAATTGAAACAAAATGTGATAGATTTTTTTCTTACACATTTTTTCAAAAGTTGGGAATGTGTACTGCATGGGACATACATAACATATTATTTGAATGTGCTGTTACATTTATCTGATAGATAATTTTGCCCTAACAAACACTAAGTAAGGTAACATGTTTATGATGAACCTTCAGCTTTCATATAGTTATAATGGCAAAGTCCTTGTTTTGCTGTGGCTTTGGAAAACCAAAAATATGTGTAAAATCAAAAAGTAAAATAGGAGGTGCACAATGGCAGTGTGTAATAAAGATTCTGTGAAAGTTTCATCAAATTTCAAAAAAAAAAGGAGTGACCTAAAAATGTCAACCAAAGTGTAACAGACGGACAGCTTTTATACCCTGCTTTTCAAGCGGGGGGTTAGAAAACAGTATAGGTTACTATAGTGAACACTTCAGACGATCTTGAAACCTTTGATTAAATATAGTGAACACTTTGGCCTATAGTGATCACTTTGAAAACTTTGATTTACTGTAGTGATAACTTTGAAACTTTGATTTAATATAGTAAATTATTTTGAAGTCTGATTTTTGTTAGGGTAATCAAAGTATATTTGAAACATATGTTTCTTGTCAGTCTATAAATAAAATATCGGCATACATGACTTATATATATATATTATAAAAACTTTTTTTTGAAAATGGCTTATAATATATTGCATATATATTTATCAATGGCCACGTTATTAAAAACCTGACCTACCGACTTCTAATTCAAAGCAAAAATCCGTGTTTATTGTGTTTCTGATGTATTTTTTCCTTATTATTTTTATAGTACAAAAACCAGTCCGTTTTCCTCTTTACTGATAACTGATTTCAAGTATTAATCAAATTCTTTCAACATTGTTAAGTTTTTCAGAAAACTAGAGCTTATAATTTTTCTCTGTGCTAATAAATATGAACCAAGTATATCTGAAGCTTTGCATTTAATTGGGTTCCTGGCATTTCATGGATTTTAATGAACAAAATGAAATCAAAAGCTTGGCAATTAGGACATGTGTTGTTGACATATTTTTATTTGAATGCTCTGTTAGGTTATATATAGACAAAATCTGAAAACACTCAGTAGGGTAACACTGTTTATGATAAAAATTCAGCTTTCAGTAAAAGAGTCCTACAAACTATTGCATATACACATGTACTTTGAAGAACCCAGTATATTCCACCGTAATTTTCAGTAAGTAATTATCACAGCTGCATGTAATCAAGTTATAAGTGTTGGAATGGATGCATTGATAGATATTTCATTACAAATTAGACATATATTTCATCATCTTTTCATCATCTACGGATCGAAAAAAAAAAAAACAAAATCAGGCAATATGCATTATGTAGAACTATTGACATAATACATGTTTTCCTGATATAATTGAAATAGATGTCGATAGGAAAACCATAATCACAAAACACTATAATGTTGTATATAATGGGAAGTCATGGAACCTTAATATCTATCAATTATTTCCCACAATTTATAGCTACATCATCTGCCAAAAACTCTACCATCTGTCACATTTCTAAAGCCTGTATCTAAACTCTAGAAAACACAGCAAATTCCAGACATATATAAACCTCCAGAAACATTAAGTGCAAGTGCTCCGCCTTTTTTATGACATTAAGTGATGAACCATTAAAGTTTATCACATACTTGATCAGCTCATGCAGGTTTTCTCCTTGATAATTTAGAAAAAAGTGCATTACACTGTCTATTGCTATCAAACTTTGAGCATAATTAATTAAAATATTACTCAATCAAATCAATGTCTCATTAAACAATCTTGATAAAAATATTCTGATGCTCGGTAGAACTGCACAGTTTAGTTATCAATTATATAGACATTAAAAATCATCTGATATATTAAAAGTAATTAATTTGAAAGTTATTTCATGTATTCTGTAACAATTAATGACAAAAAATTGGTATGTCACCTGATTTTGAGGCTGTATTCCATTAATGCAAAACATCATCATGCCAACCTTTTTTTTACTTTCTTTTTGGGAAATATATATATACATATATATATCTTTCTGATTATTCAATATCATAATTCTGACACATCCAATAAACCATAATTGTGAAATAACAATATAGAGACTAATTTGAGATGGATATCTTCTACATGTATAAAATATAAGCCTGCTCAGAAAACAAAGTTTGGAACAAAGAATTTTAACGATTTTTTTAAAAGAAAGAATTTCGTGGTGTTGCTTCGTTTTTTTTTTGTAATTGGAACTGCCGTAGAGGTGAATATGATTTAAAACAAAACTCACATAAGCCTGATAAACTCTTCACAAGACCTCAGCTAGCTTTAAGTACGGGGTTGTTAATTAGGAGGATAAGTTTAGAATCAATTTCTCGATACACTTTTTAATTGTATTAATGTTTAAATTTTCGGTGATACAATTGTTTTTATTTCATATTTACAAAAGAAGATTTATACCTCAAACATTTTCAGTTTGAATCTTCATAATGCTTTTGTTGTTGAGATTTTAAAAATTATATTCATGCAATTTTGAATCTTGAAGACATTAGGTCTTGAAGCTCAGAAAAATGTGCACTGTTTATTCGTCCTTATAGGAAATTTGATGTCAAAAAGTGCACATATACATGGCAAATCAAACACTGATATACGGAGAAAATAGAATCTGTATAACCAATTTTTTCTCAATATTTAATGCAAATCATAATGACTATTCTTGCAAATTTATCCACTTTAATAGTCAGGTTGAATTTACATGTATGCTACATGCATAGAAAATTTAGTTATGAACTTTAGGCATGAAATGCTACATCAAAAATTTATATAATCCATATAGCTATCTATGGAAAAGTAATGAATTTGATCGCATATCAACTACAGTGTACTAAGTTGTCAAGCAAACTCTCTTTCATCTCATTTGTGTCCCTTAATCCTGATGTGATAGTAATGGAAATAATTACTAAACTTAGTTGGTGTAATGAACTAAATCATAGATTGGATAGAGTACGTTAGTGTTTCATCTGATGTGCATATTTCTAAAAATAATCCTCAGATGGAAGATGATTTATTCTCAAGCAGAAAATAACCCAGGATCGTTATTTCAAATTCCCTAGAGCACTTCCAATCTTCATAATGATATATTAAATAGTAAGTAATCCTTTTGCGTGTGTCTTATTATCCATCCTATACTATATGATCTGAATTATTTATATTACATGCTTTTTCTAAATTATCATCTGTCCATAACTTTCACATTAATGGGTCCTTCGGATGAGACCGTATAAACCGTGGTCCCGTGTCGCAGTAGGTGCTGGCACGAAAAAGATCCCTCACTGCTCAATGGTCGTACATGTAGGTGCCGAGTATAGAACAAAATTTGCAGATTTCCACCGGAAAGTCTCGATCCATATGAGTAAAAAATGCTCGAGAGGGGCTTTTATCATGTTCAACAACAAACAAGCAAACAACCACATTGATGGTAAATACACTGTAGCTAAAATGAGAACTTATACCGGAGTGTATAAAGTACACCTCATGTAGCATAGTATCATGTAAAAGAATACTAGCAGTATCTACTTAATCAATTTTGAATGTTTTCCTTTTTTCAGAGTTCTTCACTGCAAAATTAACCATATAAACAAGGGGCCCTTTGCCAGAAAGCTCACAAGTGTAATGGCGATCCTGCTGTTCTTCATCAGCAAATTTTTTAAAGATGCAATAATATTCCGTTTTTGTTGCACCGTCCTACCTCCTGTAGATCATGCCTTGACATACATGTAGCTTCAATCTACACTAAATGGGCATGTTTACAAATATAATGATGACTTAAAGATCCTTGCTGTTCTATAAGTGCTACACAAGATTTTCTTCAGTGTCTACTTGCATCATTTAGAATACGCTGTAGATGCTTTAAAATCAATCATCTGCCATAATATAACTCATTTGTATATTATTTCATGATTACTTTGAAATTTCACTGCTAATGAAAACACTGTTTTATTTTTAGTTTAACAGCATAAGGAAAAGAAAGAAATTGCATTTTTTCTTCTGTACATATATGGTAAATTTTCTTCTAATTTGGTTCTTGCTAAAAAAAAAATGCTCATAAAGAATGTATGACATTTACAAGTCAAAAGGTTAAAGGCATACTCGTACTGGTAATTTAATATTTTGCAATCGTTACTGGATTTTCTGCCGGAATAAAACCCATAGGAGAAATATTTTCTGTTGAAGCTATTTAGCAACGTAGATGCATTATTTAGTTATACACTGAAAATGAAATTATAACACTGGGCCATCTTTAAAATAATGCTTGCTTCTTCTCTCCTGACTCAGAGGAATATTACTGGGTCGGTAGATAGGTGGGAAAATCTTTTTCCCAGAAAATTTCAATATATTTGTTGATGAGATATGAGGAATAAAAAGAAAAAAAAAATCTGTGTCCTGAAATGTAAAAATAAACTTTTGAGACGGGCCATTTTCACACAGTCAGTCGGGAGAGGGCAACCAAACAATTTTTCAAAGGTGCCCCGAGCATTTTCATTTCTTGTGTTAAACGTATACTTAGTAGTTCCTTAAACCTTTCACACGTCCACTCATTTTAGCTCCTTTTACCACTTAGTACCAGTGAGGAGTATATTTTGTGCCATTCTCTACTGTGACACAGGACCTCATCAGTTTTATTGTCTTCTAAATGATCTGAGTATCTACATGTTCATGTCCAATAGTGGCATTCAAACCAAAATTGGTGTTCTACTGTAATTATTTTGCCATGTGTCTGTCTTTTTTCAGAAGGTTTAGAAGCAACTTCTGTTCAAAAGGTTTAACAATTACATGTAACCTACTAGTATGTATGATTTCTTTATCCCAGAAAATTTCAATATATTTGTTGACGAGATATGAGGAATAAAAAGAAAAAAAAAATCTGTGTCCTGGAATGTAAAAATAAACTTTTGAGACGGGCCATTTTCACTCAGTCAGTCGGGAGAGGGCAACAAAACAATTTTTCAAAGGTGCCATGAGCATTTTCATTTCTTGTGTTAAACGTATACTTAGTAATTCCTTAAACCTTTCACATGTTCACTCATTTTAGCTCCTTTTACCACTTAGTACCAGTGAGGAGTATATTTTGTGCCATTCTCTACTGTGACACAGGACCTCATCAGTTTTATTGTCTTCTAAATGATCTGAGTATCTACATGTTCATGTCCAATAGTGGCATTCAAACCAAAATTGATGTTCTACTGTAATTATTTTGCCATGTGTCTGTCTTTTTCAGAAGGTTTAGAAGCAACTTCTGTTCAAAAGGGTTAACAATTAGCTTACTATTATGCATGATTGTATCATTTTCCATTATTCTTAACACACTTGAGGTCTTCTGTAAAAGATCACGATTTACTCATTTTAGATGCCTTAATATGATGAACAGATTTCGCTGTTAAAGGTTGGTGGGCAACCTTCCTTTATATCCCCTGTTTCCTACGATTTAAAATTAACAGCTGCAGAATTGCTTAATGTTTATCCTACATGTGAGTGATGTGACTCAATGTGTGAATACTGGGGGAGAAAAATAAACCCATGACACTTATTGAAGTGATGCACGGTTTTGTCAACTATAAACATAATCAAGTGCCAACCACACATAAAAGGAAAATCGACAACTTGACTGCACAAATTTGGTGGCAAGGGAAAAATAAATCTGAATCCTGTCATTCCAATCATTTCTTAATGGCTGAAAATGTTATTGAACAGAGAATTCCTACACATGACTTTCTTGTGGCGTGAGGTATGGATCAATATAAAACATCACTTTAATAATGCAGTAAGGAACTATTTACTTCTCTCTTGAAATATCATTTGTTTTCATTTCATCTACTTTAAAAGCCTGAATAAAATTGCACAGATGAAATACAGGTCGCTGTGTAACAAAGCAAAAACAATATCTCGGTGAACTTCTTAGCTTTAATGAGGACACTGATTTACTTGCTGGTAAATTAAATGACTATTTCTCCTCAAGGTCTATATAAAGAAGTTTTTCACTAAAAAAATATGTTTTAAGCTTCAATTGATTGTTAAATCAGCTTAATGAAAACGCAAAACAGGAAAAAGTTTCTAGTCAAAAACAAGAAAACACAATTTATTTCAACAGTATATAAATTACTACTGAAACCTTTATCAACACCTTCAACATCATTCAACAATATTCTACGGTATGTGTGAAACCCAAATTAATTAGCAGCTATGATAGAATTTACTTGTACATTGAAAATTATCATCAAAAATATGTCTCTAACCATAGTTGGCAGGAATATCATTTCCATTAACAATACAGATTTATTTTCAATTTTAATGATCAATTTTTTTTAAATCTACAAATAATACCAAATTGTTAGCGGGGCATAGAAATACAAGAGGTAGAATCAGGAGACTAGGAGGAATAAACATCCCCTTTGAACCACTTAAATCTACTGTAAGGCCTGCATTTTGATCAGGTGGATCTAATATTCCTTATACCAGTTTTTTTCCTTCAAAAAAGGCTTAACAACTGGTTTGCAAATTGTAAATGTCAGTCAAAATACATCCCAGTGAAAGTCAAAATACATCCCAGTGAAAGGTTATTTTTGCTAATAAAATCATTATGTCAACAATTCAATTATATTTACCAAATGCTGAAAATAAACATTATTGTTTAAATTTCTGTAATATCAACTTATCTGTCTGCAGCCTTCCTCTTTTTAAAATTGATCATATACTCAGAGCATGCTCTTGAATATGAGCATATGAATAGTGAAAAATAACATGTCAAAACGTGGGCCCATAGTTTTCTTTCTTTTGCTTATAAAATTTCTGAGATAGTTCGTCACTGAACATGTGTAAAACTCAATCCCAACTTAAAGAAGTACATGTAGTCCTCCTTGACTTTATTTATAACACCTGTAACAAAGTTACAGACTTCATTTTGGACAAATAAATAACCACATACACATATATTTCTCTTATTGCATTTAAAATGTTTCAATGCAATACTTTGTTCTCAAATATTACGGGAAAGCTCCTTTATTTAACAGCTTATGAGAACTATCAATCAACTGTCTTAACATGTATGAAAATGAAGCTCAAATTCACTTTTCACTTCTTCAAAAAATTGCAAAACATTTGACCTAGATATAATGGCAGTTTGATTGAAAACATTTCAAGGAAGCACTTAAAACATCAATGAATAAATCAAACTCCATCTATAATTTTTCCCGATCCCCACACCCAACAACATCACTGATAACAAGTTCATGTCCATACCGTACATAGCAAGTACATACCATACATAGCAAATCCATGGAAAGGGATCACGCCATTTGGGGGGTAATTCACAGCGAACTCATCCATACCCAACCTCCCACGGATATATGATTTAGGAGGGCTTGCACTGTTGTAATCAAAGTGTTTCAATACACATGTATCTCTTGAAAATGGTAACAAAATCTGGAAGTAAAATTAAATACAAATACAATATCTGCTTTAATCACTAATTATCTTTTGGTTGACTTTTACGTATACTATAAAATATAATTATATAAATATAACATACTTGTTTTAGAAATATTTGAACCAAGGGAAGGGGAAGGGAAATGTAAATCAACCTTAAAAATGATTTAAATATTAAGGTTTAGTAATTTAAACAAAGGTACAGTTATTGATGATAGCTCAAAATGTGAGATTTGAAATCACCCTGAATTATCTTGATGAAGTTTTTGTTTGCAAATTTGATTATTTTATCCTGGAAATGATCAATACTCATTGCTGTGCAGATTTCATCTGCAGTATAATGGGAAGAAGGAGAACTCTGGTGCAGACAAATTTAGTACCTGATATAAAAAGTCCTCAAAAACAAAATACTGGTCATCATTTGTTGCAGTTAGCTTCACATCCTGTTTTTTAAAATAAAAATGATTATCAATCAATCAATCAATCAATCAAGGATGATATTCTCTGTAGTTAAAATACAAGGAAATTAATAAATCCATGGAGCCCTTGTTATGCAAATTAAAGATTGCAGAGAAAATTTGTGACCTACCTATGACCTTTTTGTATATTATCTATTAGATTCAATGTTTCTTTTTTAACAGTGAAGACAACAGGTTTTTAATACATGTATGCTGCATTTTTCAAGAGACATTGCAAAATTGGATTAAAAAGGATCTTAGCTTAATCTGAATTTAGTTGCTTAGGTTTATTTAAAAAAAAAAAAAATAATAATTACAGTAATGAACTTACTCTTTCCCTATGGGTGCAAGAATTTCTTTCGTTCTTTTATGAAATGGAAGTATGCCCAGAATTAAAATTTCATGGGCCTTTCAGATAAGCTGAAAAATGCTTGAGAAGATAACATTGGTACACTTTTTCCCTGTAAAGTTAATTCTTTCATATTTGTGAATTGAGTCAGCCTCACTCATACATTACATTATTATGTTCCCCAAACGAAGTTTGGGAACATATTGTTTTTACTTTTTCTGAATTTTTTCTTTGTTCTCCGGTACTTTTTTGTCCGCGAGTGTTCTCGTAAACTACTCATCCGATCTAGGTGAAACCTTTTTAGGGTCACTGGGTATGTTATGTAGATGTGCGGAACGAAGGTCATTTTGTGCGCAGGTGCGCGCACGTGTAACACGTGAAATGACCAATATAATAGATTTAGCCGTAACTTTTTAAATATTGGATGAAATGCTTTGAAACTCATAATATAAGGATATAATAGTAGTATAGACATGATGACATGGTCAAAATAGCTAGATCTCACGCGCATGCAGGTGCCCTTCGCTGCGATTGGCTGAAACTTAAAGTCTAAATATCTATTTTGTTTTCTGACAAAATCCTTTGAAATTTTGATCATAGTCTTACATTATGAAGATCTACAGCATGATATATAAAAATATTCATGAACGCACGCACATGCACGTGTGCTGCAATCTGATTGGCTAAAACTTTAAATGCCTACAACTTTCTTGGTTCTCAATAATACAGGGTGAAATTTCAAATATGAATAGATATAATGATTGCCTACATTATACTACTATCAAAAGTAAATACATGGACGTGCATGCACATGCGACCGCACACAATGTATTAAAAGACAGTATACTTGAGTGTTTGATGTTCATGCAGAATTAAGAACTTCTAAATGTCAAGACATGTAACATACTGAAGCATGCAGATCTTTTTACCCTTGACCTTGAAACTTAGGTCAAGGTCACTGGTAACCTGAATAAAATGTTGATATTAACTATTTACCAAAATCACCTTGACCTATGAACTTGAAATCGACCTTAACCTTTGTCCTTGACCCAAGGGTAAAAAGAAACATGAAGTACATGTACATGTATCTAGAAACACCTTTCAGAGTTTATTTCGGTTGACAGGTTAGAAGTTAAAGAGGTGGTGGTTTTTAATGACCTTGACCTTTCATCCAAATGTCACAATCAATCTTAAGTTCTTGGAATAAGATACAAGATTCAACTCCAACGTTAAATAGGTTAAGAATAAAAATAACACCCCATCCCTCCCCACCACACACACAAACAAATCAAATTAATGGCAACGTAGAGAATCACTGTTAAACTCAAATAACACCTCGGACCCACATAAAATTTCAGGAAAACTGCAGAAAAGAGCTCGAGGAAAGTGTATTAAAATATTTCATTTGAGTTTCCAAAGTATATAGAAATTATTAATTTATACAGAAAAAATTACAAATCCTGTCGTGTTTAAAATTAAAGTGCAGATGACCAAAGTTGGCATATAAGCCTTTTATAGCCTATTTATTCAGATGTCGTTAATAGCATTCGATTCTACTGATTTGAAATTGTATTTTAATACCAAGCATCCTTTGTTTAATTTACCTTTGAAATTTATTTGAATTTTTTTTAGAATTACGCAATCCCCAGAAATAGCGATTTTCGGTATATTAAAAATCAATATACATGTACGCTCCTTCGTAAAATAATCAGATATTTGCATTCATGAAAAAAATATTAATAAGAAGGTGTTAAACAATATAGGTCACATTAGCTGACACGAATGTCTTTTTAAACATCTCTTGTAAAACCCAGAGCGTAGCCCCCTATGCATTGGAAAAAATGAATAGTTCCGGTCAAAAAACCTTTATATATTTATTTACAAAGTATATAAAATTTACCAGGCACGGGTATCAGAGTTGTCAAAATGGCCTGAGAGGAGATATTAAAAAAATTCTGAACAGAAAGGAAAATCTCTTTTCCATGTATGGAACTACTATTGAATAAGTTCATTTTGATTGGTTAGGTATTGGCGTGATACCCCTAGTCGACTTTAACCCTGCCTTGTCGTCGGAATAAAACCAACTTTGAGCCCGAGGTTAAAATAAGTAGAGAAATAAAATGTGAATCGATATATTAAAAATATGACATATGCTTGAAAAATGGTAAATTTATATATGTATTTTTTTCTTTGATTCGCGGGATAGAAAGATATGTTAATCGCTTAATCAACATGCCATAATCATCTTGCATATGCATGTACATGTACGTGTGCGCGCATGCAAAACGTTAAACAATATATCGTTGATAGTTGATATCATTGTAACTTTTATATTCTTAAATGAAATCTTGGGATACTTAGCAAATTTATAAAAGGTCTTAGAGGAATAAGGCACGATAAGGGACATGGGGAGCGTTTGGGGAACATCTGTAACGGTCCCCGTTACAATTAGCACTAGTTTGTTAATATGTAATTGATTTTTCAAACATGCAGGTCATAATATTACATTTTCTGATCACTTCTTTTAAATTATGGAATATATATCAAGTATGTGTCACATGGTGAATAAAGTTAGTCAAGAGTATTTTATAGAAAAACTCTCATATTAAACTGAACACTTCATGACAGTTTGCTCTTTCCAAAATTAAATCCTATTACTTAATTAAGATCAGTGATTTCAATAGATCATTTCATTTTTATTAGAACAACTTTTTAACTCAGTCCTCTTTACAAATTAGATTAATACTATCAAATTATCTTTTTCTTTCATAATTATTCATCTTTGATTTAAATGTTTTCAAACCAAAATACATGTATTACATTTCAAAGAAAGAGGCAAGAATTTATTTTCAAATAATGAACATAAAAAACATCTGTTGGATAAATTGAGTTCTACGTTTTTGTTATTTTAACAGGAGACAAATGCTAATGATAAGGACATTATTCTTTAAAACTCACATAGTTTCAATAAATTCATCTTAAAAAACAGAGTATAAAATACTATGTTTTTGAAACATGAAAGAAACAGATTTAACTGATATTGTCAGTGCATGCAGACAAATTAATCTGAATGCAGTGAAAAATGAAGCTGTTTCTACAAAACATTTCAGAAGTGATGTAACACTTTGATAAACAGGGAGAAATACATGTCTAAGTTAATCATTATGACACCCAATGGTCCAGTCTATTTCTTTAAAAGTGACACAGACTTCCCGATAATTAACACTAACAAACCTTGTAAAGTAAACTGTCGACTAATAGGTCATGTTGCAGCACATTTGTTTTCAGTTGCTCGTAATAAAGGACATCCTGAAATGTACAGATATATTAGGTGCCAACCATCTGAAAATAATGATGCTGGAAAATACAATTTAATAAGTTTTTATTCAAATCATTAGTAATTATTGAAGTTGTTTTGAAACGTAATTGACAGGAAAAGCTCTCAGAAAATCTTCTCTAATTGAACATAAAATCTAAATGTATATGTCTCAAGAGTTTGTTGATGAATTCCCTTGAATCTCTTGGAGTAATCTGTGCCAACAAACAAAGAACATTAAAAGACACAATTCTTGCTAAAATTTAATTAATAAGATATATTTAGATTTTTCAAAAATGTGAAATAACAGGAAAATATATTAAGATGTTTAATTTCTTATAATAAAATTATCATTTAAATTACTATGGGAATTAAGAATGCGATGAAATTTCTTTTTGCAAAATTAAAAAAAATGAATATAAATCTTACAATTTCATCCACTTCAATAGCCAGTATTTGACACCACAGTGTAGCACGCATGCTAGTGGGGCACCCTTTCTTAGAAAATTCTTGAGCAAGAGGGCCATGATTTGCATTAATCACTACAAATTAAAAGGTGAAATAAATTTTGGTAAGACAATATTTTTTATTGTTAATCTTCGATTTATGCATTATGAAATTTTTAAAAATTTTACTCATTTGTTTAAAATTCATATTGTTCAATCAGTTAAACTAATGTGTGTATGCCATTATTATTTCAACAACAATAGAGTGAGGAAAAAAAGGAGAACACTTAATCCATTGAAATAAAATTGAATCATTGTTTCTTTATCAGTTTTTGGGTTTGGAAGAGTTGAAATTATCTCTCCCTGCACATGCAGTCTCAGACAAAAAATACACCCACAGATTATAAAGATTTTGTAATTTTTTGTCTCTGTCTCATTTAGATGATGAATTGTTCAATACCTTTCTTCCCGAGCTTGACTCTTTCCTGTTCAAAGAGTTCTGATGGAATGTCCAGACTATCGTCAATCCCTGACTGACACTGATTGATTGACATATCACTGTACTGCAGTCTCTGAAGGAGATTACGCAAAAAAAAAATACTAATAATGTCTCAACAACTTTCTGATCATCAATTTAAAACAAGTAAATAAACTGATTAGGAAAAATATGTCACATTTTATTTTTTCCAAGTATTAATTGTTTCATCTTGAAATCTGAATGCATACCTTCTTTAAAGCTAACATTATGACAGACATTTCAAAACATTCTAAATAATGGTCAAAAAACCTACCAATTCATCAATGTCCTTGACATTTAAAGGAACTTGAACAATTCCCCAGAGATGGTAAAATCTGCAAATGTGCCATAAGAAAAGATAAACATTTAATTCCTTTATTTTGAGATCAGTATTTTATTTCAATTTAAAGTTATTTTTCAGAGAAAACACACTCAAAAGAAAATGACAATCAAAACCGCAGAAGAGAGAAAGTTGGTATGTATAAAACTTAAATTACAAAAGCTAGTACACAACCTTCTTCTCTGAACCATAAATGCTGATTGATATAAACTTAACTAACCCAGGTGTGTCTGATCCATGATTGTTTGGGTTCTGTAAACTAATAATGACTTCTAGGAAATCTTTTGGGGCATAAACTGGACGAATTTGGCTCAAATCTGTTGAAAACAATTTTAATTTAAATATACATTTTATATAAATATAAGAAGTGCAAAATACTACTATATTGTCAGAAACGTTGACACAACTTTAAAATATAAACCATCTTTATAATTTTTTGAAAATGTAATCTGCATCTTGCATAATTATTAAATAAACTACATATATATAATAAAATTTTTACACAGTCATATAATTTTACCTAAAAAACATTTCACTTTCATGATCATATTAACTTAAAGGATTTCTGTAAGATTTTGTTTAATATATTTCAAATTATCAGAAACAGAAAGCATATAATTTCCCCCAGAAACTAAATACATTGTACTGTTATTGTTCATTCAGATAAAGCAAATCTCTATATTTGAGCAATATCTACCACCATGCACCCACATTTCAGATCTATTTATTTATCATATATGTTAACCCTACATCCATTACAAAAATTTCATCAAAAATAGTTATACTACTTATACTACCCAAGTTATCTAATTGCACATTAAAAAAATTAAGCTACCATAAAATACACTTCTTAACTTGTATTTTGCATGCTAGAGCACTTTAATCAAAAATGTATTAATCTATATATAGTACACTAGGATTCCATAATTTTAACAAGAAAAAGCCCAAATTAAAACAAATCCTGTCACTATTCTATTATAGAAGAGAACATGCAGTAAGAGTTTAGCATGCATTTTAATCACTGAAATAAAAAATAATGCTATTACAGGGAATTAACAGTCTCAGCTACAATGACTTTGGAAGTTTAATTTTTTCAAAAAATTTATCACTCAGAAACAATTTTCTAACATATGTTACCTAAAAACTGAAAGCAGCATAATTCACACATATGGCATAAATTTATAACATTTGATAAACTTTTATAGGCAAGAAAATTTTTAAGTTAATTTACTCTCCACATTAACAGGTTCAAAGGACAAAAATATCTAACTCTTAAATTTCAAAATACATGAGAATTTAATCTATATACACCCCCCCCCCTAAAAAATTTTAGGGTTAACATCTGATGATACTATAATCCTTTAGGTGAGAATGGACTTTTAAAACTTCTTTATAACAAAGTTTTTATAACCCAACCAAAGTTGAATCTTTCTGTGCCTTTTAATTTAATTTCAAACATGGGTTAAAATTAAATCTAATGTAAAAGATCTCTTTGTTGGTTGTAATTTTAAAAATTACACTATTGAATTATATAATATTATATAAATATAATCAATGACAATTTAATATTAAAAGTATACCAAAACTACAAATCAGTAAGAGAAAATGAATGAATCATATCATGGATAAAATATCAAATTCAAATTTATGTCTCTATCAGATTGTGGAAGTACTCTAACTTTTCCCCACATTTAACTGATAAAGAAGCTCAATTAACGACGTTCGATCCTGATATTTAAAGTCTTAAACTTTTTTTGCCAAGTATATTTTTAGTTTCTACATACATAGCTTAATTGAAATTCAAATCAAAAAAGTGGGGGTCAATATGCTTCTTTTAGCACTACAGTACATTTAATATGACCTTTCTGCACTGAAATTTGTGTCCTAATTAAAAATTACATCTTCGACGTTTTCCCTTCAATATTTTTATCAAATTAAAGCTTGAAACAAAATGAACTCTAAGTCTGTTTAGAAAAAGACACTTAAGGTAGATCGCGGGTTTACTGTCTGCCTGAAAACATAGGCTAAAAATTTGTCAGCTAACTCTTCTCGTTTTGAAGTTTTCTTTCTGAAATTTTTTTGAGATTCGTCTGCGTGGTTAGATTGTAATCGTAATTTAAATGCGCTAATGTTGATGAGAACAGATGACGCTTTTTCAATGAAATATATAGTAAAATGTCCCTTTTCTGCCGGTATACACATTTCAAAACCGTAATCATAAAATTAAGACGAAGCAGACGAATTTTAAATTACTCGATACAATAATTGTGAAGTAAATTTAGAATCGATTTATCAAAAAAAATTAGTATGTGTTCTCGCTCAATTTCTTGCAAAAAAACTTTAAAGTTTTACAATTTTTCATCAGAAGTGTTATATTTTCATCACGATGTTATATTACGTGGGTGCGACGTCATTATTTTCGTATGCGCATGACTCGAAAAAAATTGAATTTATAATCAACAATTCACTCAAAATAAAGCATGCAATCCGTGAATTCAATTTCCCGATATATTTTAATGTCATGTGTTCTCTTTTTTTCTTGCAATAAACGTACAAGGGTATAGGG